ATTTAATGCAGCTTAAGTTTTTACTAAATTCGATACGATAATAAATACGTCATGGATTGATAAATTATAGTTTTATATTGTAATAAATGTAAAATTCATATTTTTATTAAATACATATTTTTTTTATTTCGCTTGTTTGTTCTTTACAACTCTCTATCTAATGACTGAACATCAAGACTACCCATTTTTAACTCGTAATGCATTCGAAGACTTACTTTCCAGATATCTTGACAGTAAATCGATTAATAGACGACGTAAAACCTTTATTACACGTGAAGATTTTGATTTCTGTATTAAGGTTATACAAGATCCAGCAAATACAACAATCGGAAATGCAAAGGATCATTATTGGGCGAAAAAAATATTTGCTGTATGTGATCTTGGGACGCTAACAAACTCCATGATACGGCTTATTAAACTTGATTCAAACCTACCTATATGTCCTGTTGACAAGATATATGAAGTGTTGTGCAGTTTGCATCAGGGGGTTTTAAAACATGTTGAATCATCAAAGCTCTGGGATGTGGTATGTAATCTATAAAAAAATTACTGTATAGTTAATATAAATAATAAATTAATTATTTTTTATACTTTTTACAGGTTTTAGAACAATATAGTTATATTCTACAGTCTTTTGTAAAGGAATTTGTAAGGAATTGCACGACATATGCAACCCAAAGAAGTTTTCTAAATCTGGTAGCTGCAAAGCTGATTATCTCAAATGCCTTTCTTAATCGAGTTCAAGTAGATTTAGTCTCTATGACCAGCATTCCAGATGGGGACTATTGTTATATATGTCATGTGCGTGACTATTTCACATGATATTCTTGGGCTCGGGCTTTAACTAGTAAACGGCCAATTGAGGTAGCCGTTTTTCTTTTTGATATTTTCATTTGCTTTGGCGCTCCAATTATTCTTCAGACCAATAATGGTCATGAGTTTATTGCAGAAGTAATTTGTGAACTGTTAACTATATGGCCCGATGTTCATATTATCAATAGTCGTCCAAGGCACCCACAAAGCCAAGGGCTTGTAGAACGTGCAAATGATATTTTTCAACAAAAAATTTCTAAATGGATGGAAGATACGAAAAGAACCAATTGGTCTCATGCTGTACCATTGTGCTGTTGTAAGTATTTTAATAATTTTTTTTAAATTTTATGCTTATTTTTTTTCTATAATTTAATTTGAGCAATTTTTTAACAGATGCTATGAATATACAAACTTCACGGCAAATTAAAAATAGTCCGTATGCATTAGTATTCAGACAAAATCCTTTACGTCATTTTACATTATTGAAGGAAATCAAAGAGCATCGTATTAATTCTGAAGATGAGCTGCCTAATAATTGGTTTGAGCCTACTGAGCCTCAGGATGATTTTGATCAACAAGACATAGTAGAATCACTTTTAAGTGTCACAGCTTTAAATATAGAGGTTTTTTTTTTTCTTTAAAATTTTTGGGTTTAATAACTTACCGCCATAATGATATATCACACTCTATAAGATCTGGTGCAACATAAAGTCAATAGATAATAACCCAACAGTTTAGGATTAGGTTAAAGTTAGACTAGGGTTAGTATAAGACGATAAGAAGAAGGTTTTAATGCAAAATTTGGCGAGGAATTTTTTTGTTATAATGCAAGAGATGGTTTCATAAGAAAAATTTTGCGTTATAATCGATTTTAACAAAAAAAAATTCTATTTTACATTACACCTATCTTGCATTCTACTTGATTGAATTAGGGTAGCTATAGCAGTAATTTGCAAAACCCTTAATTTATTATTATTTTAAATTAATTGATTTTATATAAATTATGTTTAAGAGCAACAATTATTAGAGCATATTAATGAAGGTGAAATGATAGATAGAAGGACAGATGATGTGATCGATAAAAAGACAGATGATGTGATCGATAGAAGGGCGGATAATGTGATCAATATAAGAGAGAATGATGTGATCGAAGTGACTAATGAGGCAGAAGATTATGTAGTAGATGATGTAGATGATATGGTAAATGAAGCAGTGATAGATGAGATTGCAGACCAAGTGGTAGAAGTGATTGTGAACAAAATGGATAGGGCAGTAGAAGAGATGGGGGAAATGGTGAATAAAGAGGTGAACGAAAGTGTAAATGAAGTGGTAGTATATGAAATAATGGATGAAATAATGGTCAATGAGATGACAAATGAAAGCGAAGAGGAAAAAGAAAATATGTTAACCGATGTAAATATTTAATTTTATAATTTGATTTGCACAAAATAATGCTTAATAAAAAT